ACTTCTGTTAATATTCACCTTAAACACCTTTTTTTTTTGAAAAGGGGCCTTTTTAAACTTTCAAAGAAACACAATAATTTCTCCAGTAAAACTCTAAAAAACTGCAACTGCATAAATTCATAATTACTTAAAACACAAAATTAACTCTAAAAGGGTATATAAAAACATTTTTAAAAACCCATGAATCATGACTTTTTAACAAACTGGGTACTATCCCAGTGCTTTTTCTTAGAGAGGGAGCAGGGGGGTGGACTGCCCGCCCTGCTGCTGCTCTCTGCTGCTGTTATCTTTCTTCACATTCTCCACATGCTCTTGCAGAAAAAAAACAACAAAAAAACACCTCACAAAGTTAACTTTAACACATACAGTTGTTTCTCTCAATCTCTCTTGTTCACTGATAGAGGAAAAAAGGGGCACAATTTTTACAAAAGCAAGCGATGTTACACGAAAATCTCTCACGGCCAGGTGCTAACAACGGTGACCATTGCAGCTTATCAGCTTCTAATTACAGTGATGAATTTTGAACTAGATACCATATAGTTTGTGATTTTTTGGCTATTTTGTCTCTTTTTGAAGCTGTCTGAGCCACCTGTTCCTGCTCAGCTGTTTCTGTAATTGTTCAGCGTGGCCTTGGAACTTTTTCTGCACTGCTTCTGCCCCAGGGGTGCCCCCGCTCTCTGCGCACACCTCAGTGCTCCCCCATGTCCCCCTGGTTCAGGTGGAAACCAATCTAAATTTGGATTCTTTTCTTCCAGGGTAGCAAAGTTGGAACTTAAATAAGATTGTAGTGTTAAGAGTGACTCCAAAAGTGAAGCAAATAGTTCAGGATATATCACATCCTGCCGTAACTGAACAGATTCTGTTCGTTGTTTCAGCGTTGCTGTGGAATTTCTTTCTCATTATTTCCTTCTCTCTGACTCTCCCTCCCTCTTTCCATGGGCAGCATAGATAGGAGTGTTTGCCCAGCAGTGGGAGGTAAAGGTGTAAGCATACCCGTAAGCAAGAAGTCCAGGAAGCTCCTTGCGCAAATCAAAACCCTTAAGCTGTGGCTTTTCTAAAAAGCAGGTAAATAAATCATGTGCTGCTTGCCTTTCCATCTTACCGTCAGCGCTGTTGCAGCCCTACAAGGTTCGGCAGCACGTTACGGCCAGGACTCTCCTCTGAGGTCGCCTGGGGCGCGGCACCGTTGCTTTTCGCCGTCCTTGCTGCGGAGGACCCGTCCCCTGTCGCCGACTCCCGTGGCCTTCGCTTTTTAATGTCCCAAAGGTCCCAAAGGTCCCAAGGGTCCCATTTGTTCGGGCGCCATTTGATGAGTTCGGCGGGAGACAAGCAGCACTCAATATGAATGATCAGCAAGTCTCCTTTATTGGCAACTCCAAACTCCCTATATAACATCAATAATTAGGCTCCTACATAGTGCAAAAGCAAGCTCATTATTGGATATTTCATTTAAGGACAACTCCACCTAGTTCCACATTCTTGTGGTCGTTCATCTGTGCTGAATCCACATTCTTCTGATCACAGTGTCCTGTTCTCAGTTCACAGTTATCACTAAGGTCTTTCTGACATTGCAACATCTCATACCAACTACACTCTACTGTTGTTTAATTCTTTCTCAGCTAATTGCTGCATGGGAACACGACCTTTGTTAGCTAGCCACTCTTCCACACTGCTGAGCTTCGGGAGCCTCCCGGGAAGCACCAGCCCTCCCCAGACCACCCTTGGTAGCACTTTTTCTTTTCTCTCTGCTGACGATTTTATCCCCAAAACTGCCGTGGGAACGTTGTATCCAAGCACATCCTCCAGCGCTGCACTTTCCTCCTGTGAATTCCCTGTGCAGGGAATGTGGCTGTGCTTTTCCCTGCTCTGTTCACTGACAAACAAACCTGAGCCCGTGGGACTGTCAGAGCTCCTTCATGCAATGAAATCAGGTTGTGTTTCTCATGGCATGTTCTGGAGGAGCTTTTCTTGGTGTGTCTTGTGCTGCTGGAAATGACACAAGAGCCAGGAGGGAACAGAAGCTGCTGCTGCCCGTTGGCTCAGGGCCAGGGAACCAAGTTGTGCTCCCGGGCAGTTGGGCCCTGCTGGAAGCAGAGCCGCGTTTCCCTTGAGCAGCTCAAGCTTGTGACAGCTCCAAACAGGAAACCTCAGCAGAAAACTCTTCCTCCAAACTCAGCTGCTTTCCCTCCTGCAGCTGTTTGGGAAAGAGCCTCAAAGCACAGACTCTGCTGGGAGCCATTGGTGCATTTCCTCCCTCCCGGCAGCAGCAGCTCCTGAGCCCTTCACGGGCTCCTGGCCCTTCCCAAACCCTTCAGCTCCCTTGGAACTCTCAGCAGGCACTAACATGTGCATTTCTTTCATATTTAAACTGCATTTAAACTTCTCTTTTTCTCTCCTCTCTTATCTTTTTAATCTCCTCTTTATCTCCTTTAATCCCATCACCCAGTAGGATGGGGATGGAGTCTTGGGGTGGGTGTGGGATGAACTGAGGATCCAGCAGAGAAGGGCAAGGCAGAGGGGAGAGGACTCAGCCAACCCTTCTGCTGCTCTCTCCTCCCCCAGGCTCCAGCTAAAGCAAGTCAGACTGGAAAGGATCCCACAAATGCTGTGTTCTCCTCCCTCTGAGCTTGGCTGGGGATCCTCAGCTTCAGCCTGGTGCAGTGGCTGAGATTCGCTAATTTGAGTTTTTTGGCTAATGCACTAAATAATGTGGTGGGTTTAGCGCTGGCTGAAATCTCCAGGGCACTTACTCATTTCTCACTGTGAGATATGGATTAGGAGAAGGGCAAAATAGGCTTAAAACTTAAAAGAATCAAGGAACTTTATTAACAGGACTACAAGAATGAGAAACTCTAATAAAACTTTCAGAACGCCTTTCCTCTCCTTTTTTTTTTTACCTGACACTGTAGAGATAGAACTTGGGATGTTAACACAGTATTAATTACACAATAGTTTTGTATTAGTTTTTGTAGGGAGAGAAGTTTTTTCCTGTTATGTCATGGAGGCTTTTTTACAAGAAACAGGTTTTTTGTGGTTTTTTATTTTTACAAATAGCAGGCATCTGGGAAAAAAATTTTCTATTGTGACATTTTTCTCATTTTTACAGCCCTCATAGAGGTCTGTCTATGGGTTATGAATTCATGGGGTGTTATTTTAAGGATGAGTTGTTTGAAGGCAAAAGTTTTCTTCATTTATTTTTGTGATCATCTTTGGAAATGGAAGTTTTCTACTTCTCTCCCTGGGTGCAATGGGCATGTTATTGTTTTTATTTATTTTCTATTCAAGCTTTTCATGGGATTACAGTTATTTTAACATTTGTTTCATTAATGGATGCTTTTGTTTAGATTTACAATTTTAATACTTTATTTTATACTTTTTTCATTAATTAAAGGAGTTATTTTGTATATCATTGTTTATTTCTATGGCTTTACTATAAGAATATTTTTGTTTCAATTACCATTTTTTCATTACTTTTCTATCTAATGTTTGACCTTTTTTTTTACTGACTTTGATGTTTTTTTGTTGTTTTTTTTGTGTGTTATTACTCTGTCCTTTTCTGTCCCTGGAGAGATGAACAAGGTTTGTAGGTCTCATGTCTGTATTGAAAGGGTTAATATCTTGCCCAGGCTCATAATCTTCCTAGTGTTCCAAATAAATAGGTACTGTGAGGGATACATATCACAGGTGAGCACCCACTGCACAATCTGCTTTGGATTAAATCCCATCTCCGTCTTCATCAGCTCACAGTCACTGTGACACTATTCCTGCATGGAAGAAACAGGCTGGGATGCCCCTTTCTGCTTTTGGTCCTTTTATTGGCAAATGAAATATTCTATTTGAAAACCTTCAAACCCTGGAGTTTCTTTGTATTTTCACCTGAAAATGCTGCCAGCCGAGGTTCCCAAGTGTCTGGTACGTGTTTGTGTGCACAGAGCAAAGGTGTCAGCCTGTGTGCGTGGCCCGGGTGTCTGTCAATGTCCATTGAAGCAGACGGCTGGAAGGGGGCTCTGCCCGCCCTGCGCTGCTCTTGTGCATGGTGGCACAGCCTCAGCCCCGGCCGGCATCTTGTGCACGGTGGCACAGCCTCAGCCCCGGCCGGCATCTTGTGCACGGTGGCACAGCCTCAGCCTCGGCCGGCATCTTGTGCACGGTGGCACAGCCTCAGCCCCGGCCGCCATCTTGTGCACGGTGGCACAGCCTCAGCCCCGGCCGCCATCTTGTGCATGGTGGCAGCTCTGAGGGCTGTGCGAGGGACGCTCTTCCCCAGCGCTGTGGCACAGCCTCAGCCCCGGCCGCCATCTTGTGCATGGTGGCAGCTCTGAGGGCTGTGCGAGGGACGCTCTTCCCCAGCGCTGTTTCGCGTCCTTTCCTTTCCCGGGATGGCATTTGGAAATGTTTCTTCGGCCCTATCAATACACAACTCACTGTCTTACTCACTTTATGCCTGGAAGGTTCTAAGAAGACAATGAAAAGCATAGCATGATTATGATGCACTAGTAGTCAAGAAAACAGTACTCCATAGTGTAGGGCCTGTAGAGCAGGGATTCGTTTATTCAACACCAGGAGTGAGGAGGAAAGCTCCACCACAAACTCACTTGTCCATTCTTTGCACAGGACAAGCTTTTAAACTTTTTTAACTTGATGGGCACATTCTACTTTCCTAAGCTTCATATTTTCTAATTCCATGATTGTGGAAGCCCATGCAGCAGGGCTCTGCATGTAGTTGTCAGCCTCCTGGTGGTTGTTTTTGATGAAGGCTCAGGAGCTAACTGAATTCAAAAGGCCTTTTTGTTACACTTCAACACTTATCTTTTCTGGGAATTCAACACAAACTTATGGTCAGTAAGTTCTGCAAGTTCTGTTGCTGTTTGAGGCCACATTGTGTCTTTCATTCAGCAATTCATGAAGAAAACATCAATTGCCTACTGAGACCCTTCTGCTCCCTCCCAAATCACTACTCAAGAACAAGCCTCAGGCACATGCCCATAGTCCCTCTCTGCCAGCAGCTCCGAGCTGCATTGCACAGTGCTTGCTGTGCCCCAGAGAGCACCAAGCAGGCTGGCCTGGTGCCCCTGAATATTTCTGCAAAGCCCTCTGCATTTCACACCTTTGCTGTGGCTCAGTGCAGAGCTCCAGGATTGCAGGCGCTTGGTCCCAGAGCTGTGTGAGGCACTGGCTCGTGCAGATGTGCCCTGACTTGCTGTCAGTGCCTCACGCTGGCCTCGGTTCCCCTGGCAGAAATGCCGTGCCTGAAGGACACTGCCCTGTGCTGGAGCCTGCGGAGCAGCCCGGCTCCCTCCCCCTGTGCCCAGAGTGCTGCACACACTGCTGACCATTGCCAGCAGTTCCAGGGCAGGCGGCAGAAGAGCAGCAATGGTCAGGCAGGGCAGCAGCCCTGGGCTGCTCTTTGCCTTTCTCTCGTCCTGTGCAGACTCCAGACAGCCCATGGCACCAGTGTGTGCTGTGCCCAGCACGGCGCCGCTTCCCCTCAGGAGCAGCCAGCTGCCAGCTTGGCTCTGAGAGCGGAGGATTTGCCTGGGGCCAGCAAGAGGCAGCCAGGGCCAGGCTGCTGCCTCTTGCAGCTCCAAGGGCCTCCTTCCAGCCTGCCTGTGCCGAGGCTCAGGCTTCTCCGGGCTCTGCCAGGGCTCTGCTGGGGCTCCAGCCTGGCCAAGGCCGGGCCCGCTCTCACCTCACAGTCGCTGACAGCTCTGCACCACAGGAGACCTTGCACAGCACCCTCACTGCTCTTTCTGCTTTCTCTCTTCAGCCAGACTCTCCTCCAGCCAAAGAGATTTCTCTTAGGGATACAAATCCAAGTGGCAGGAACCCAAATACTCTCGAGTCACATCTGCACAGCCTGCATCTGCATGGGATGTTTGCGTTGCACTGCTCCTCCTTTGGTTTTTCCTGCAAATTCCATTGCTGTTTCTACCTCAAATAGAAATGTCAGAGCTGGGCAAAACTTGTCCAGTTGGCCATATTCCAAAGGCAGTGTGGTCTGGAGAGGATGAATGAAGAGGAGCCTTCCCCCCTTACAAACTGTACCAAAGAAGCCATCAATGTCACTTTCCACCTCTAAGAAAAAACTGACAATTCAGGAGGAAATGTTGAGCTTTCTCACAGGGTCAGAAGGAGAGAAATGTTCCAAAGGAGTTGAGATTTGAGAAATTTTATTTAAAATCCTACTCTACAATCCTACACTACAAACCTACACTACCATCCTGCACTACAATCCTACTCTATAATCCTACTCTACAATCCTACTCTGCAATCCTACTCTATAATCCTACTCTAAATTGGTCATGGAGAAGACAGTTCTAAATCAATTGTTGCATTCCTGCCTCCTCCTTCCACTTCTTTACTGCAACGATGAGAGGTGCCAGGCTGGACCCAGGCATGGCCGATGTTATAAATTGATGCTGCAGAAAGGAAAAGAAAACAACAAGAAAGCATGATTTTCCAAGCTAAGAGCTTCAAAGGCAGGGGAATACTTTTTAAATGGAAAGGGGATTGAGTCAGAGTAGGTCAGGAGCATGGGGCAAGAGTGGCACAGGTTGCCCCAAGAGCTGGTAGGTGGCCCACCCCTGGAAATATCTGAGGTGTGAGTATCCTGATCTCTTGAAAGATGTCCCTGCTCATTGCAGGACACAGACTAGATGACCTTTCCATGTCCCTGTGTGTTAGTTTGAGATGAATTGACATTTAGGGAAAGAAGTAAGAAACCCCGCACGGAAGTGATTTCTTTGAGAGAAGCTGCTGGGAGCTTCCCCTGTGCCTGAGACAGGCCAATGGCTGGCTAGTTCTGAGAACTGACAACATTTTGCACCATTTAGAAATGAGATGTGCCTCTGTGATGATGCACATTTTGAAAACCACCAGCCCGGGCACTGGCCCTCTTTGCTTCCGGAGCCCGAAGGTAACGGAGCTGTGGTGAGGCCGGCCCTGCTCGCCCACGGCCTGTGCTCCTGGGGGAGGCCGGGCCAGAGCCCAGCGGCTCCCGGGCGGGGGATGGAGGCTGCGGGACCCCGGCCCCAGGCTGGGCCAGGCCACGGCTGCTGACATCTTGCCCACACTAAACCCTCTCCCCGGCGTGCAGCGACGGCTCCAGGCCGAGCCTCCCCTCCCAGCAGCTCCCGGGCAGAGAGAGGGGCCCAGCACAGCCTGAAATCCAACACCGTGACTGCCATGACCTGGGTGAGATTGAACCCTTTCACTGCACAGGTGAGACCTGCAATCCTCAATCTTCTCTCTAGAGTGACAAATAAAGAGAGAAAAAAAGTGACGTAGAAAGACAACATGAAAGCACCAAAGTCAGTAAAAGAAGGTGTCAAGCCTCAGATGGAAGGAGGATGAGGAGATGCTGAATGGGCTGA